ATTGGGAGGGATCCCAGAGAGCCACTGTTTTCTTTCATAGATAAAGCAGGATATGCCCAGGTTTATTAAGTGGTTGCAAAACATAGCAGTGCTCAGGCCAGAGCCGGGGTCCAAAAGCTTACCCCTGACCTCTCTCTCAGGCCTGGCTTGAGTGAATCAGTGGCACAGACAGGCCCTGTCCTTTGGGGATGCTTCTGAAAGCTGAAAACCTGGTTCTTGGGGGCCTTTCCACAGCAGTACAGAGAGACTGACCACGGTGCACAGGGGTTAAAGTCTTATAACCCACCTACACAGATGTCAGCCAGAAACTTCGTTCAGATAAATGAGAGAGAGATAGGCTGAAAGATTGTGACTGCCCAGGTCAGACAGGCTGCCACCCAGGGAGAGCCTTGGAAGCCCATTTGGTCTCTGGAAGTATATGTAGCTTCCAGGCCTTATTAATTCACCCAGGAAGGGAGAGTCAGGTTACTGGGAACTCCCAGGAGGGCCCTGTTCAAAATGAGTTTAAATCCCTGGACAAGGAGGTTTTAACCAGCACTGACTGGCAAGATCTAAGAAAAACAAAAGGAAATGTGGTTTATAATGTATCTGTGCAACAAACGACACAGAGGCATTACACAGGAAATTCTCCACCTGTGATGATGGCCCCTCTCATAAAACTGCCTCTCCTTCTCCTTCGTGGGAAGGGCTCCTGGTAAGCACAGGAAGGTAATTACATGCACTGCACAAGGATTGCAGGAGATTGAGGGGGCCAGGCATTTGAAACTCAGGCCGAAGGTACTGACCCTGTATTGCATCTCAGCCCTCCAGCTTCCTGTAGGGCCTCAGGCAAGTGAACCCAGAATCACCCCACAAGAAGGGATCACACCTGACAGATGACCTCCACCGCAAAACCTGTCTTGTTAAAAAGTCAATGTTGTTGTTGTTTAATTGCTAAGTCCTGCCCAACTCTTTGCAACCCCATAGATTGTAGCCCACCAGGCTCCTCTGTTCATGGGATTGTCCAAGCAAGAATACTGGAGTAGGTTGCCATTTCCTCCTCCAGGGGATCCTCCCAACCCAGAAATCTCTTATGTCTCCTGCATATCAGGTGGGTTCTTTATCACTGACCCACTGCTGCTCCTGCTGCTAAGTCACTTCAGTCATGTCCAACTCTGTGCGACCCCATAGACAGCAGCCCACCAGGCTCCCCCATCCCTGGGATTCTCCAGGCAAGAGCACTGGGGTGGGTTGCCATTGCCTTCTCTGCACTGAGCCACTAGAGAAGCCTAAAAAGCCAATGAGATGGTTCATAATTTTGTTCCCTGGATGCACCTGTGTATATGCTTCTCCCCAACTAGAGGGCAAACTTTCCAAGAACAGAAATTCATGTATTCATTCCACCCATCTTTATTAAGTACCCCCAAACAGGCCTTTGCACAAATGGAGGGAATAATACACGTTAGAGACAAGGGACGAACAGCCAGGAGGAAAGTCAGGGAAAGTGGTGATGAGGGATGTCTGGATTCTCAGGGGCTTGGGGCACTGAACAGCGGTGCTGGGACACTCCTGCCTCACTCTCTGCCCCAGAACTCAGAAAGCAGACGAGCAGGGTTTGGAAGCTGTCCAGAGGAGATCTACCCTTCTGAAACTTATTAGCCAGGAGCAGCTCCGGGGCCAGCCCTCATCCCTCTCCCAAGGGAGATCCCGCTCGACTGGGGTGGGAGTTCAAAAGACACTGCACTTGGCCTTGAAGGCCTGGAGGAGGGGCTAGGGACTGACCGCGACAGCCTCGGGCTCGGCGCCAGGTGAAGAAACACTGGAGATGATGCCACCTGCTGGCGAGGGGCCCGGGTTCGCGCGGTGGGCGCAACCGAGACCCGGAGACCGGATGGGCAAAGAACAAGAATTCGAGCAGTTGGTCAAGTGGCTGGTTTTCTGCTGCCTCTTTAGGGTCTCCACCTCCTCGGGCCGAGCCCGGAGACTCCGGACGCCGAGGTTTCCAGCGGGGGCGGCGGGCGTCCTCCCCCGGCCCCCTCCTCTCGCGGCGCTCGGAGGTCTAAGACTCCGCGCTTCTCCATCAGGTGGAGCAGTGCTCTTCGCCGCCGGTCTCCCCCGCTCCCTCCTCGCCGGCGAACTGCACGCAGGCACCTAACAGCGCCAGGAGGTTAACCGAGCCCCCGGAGGAGGTGAGGCCGAGGAGCAGCCCGGGCGGAGGTGGCGGGGCCGCCGTCGAGGCTGGCGCCAGAGCCCGGCCGGCTGTGAGTCCTGCAGGTACTGCTGTGGTTCTCGCTGCCCCACGTGGTGGCTGCCGAAGACTGCCCGTGGTTTTTCCGGCACGCAGGCTTGAAACGCCTTCTGGCCCTTTTAGAGGCAGGCAGCTCACCACTTAATCCAAGCTTTTCTTCCCTTTCTGCCGGAGACCGGAGGCTGAGGGGCGGGGGCGGAGGGGCTGGAGGAGGGAACAGGCCCAGCTGGCTGGGGTGGGCTTGGGGGAACCGAGGCCAGACTGAGTCAGGAGGCCAACCATAGGGACCAGGGGGTGAGGGAAACCAGGCACTCCCTACCTCGGAATCGCCCTCAACCCTCTTCTCCTGATCCAGAGTTAATGTGTGGGGGTTGCAGATGCCTGTATGTGAGCCTGATTTGGGTGGATTGCACAGGTCATGACCCTGGTCTCCTGACCCTGGTTCCTAGTATTTATTTCCTTCTGGGGCCGAATTAAGCAAGTCTGGGCCCCAGGCCACTTAAGAATTAGCAATCAGAATTAACTACAGCTTAAAGGATGAATGTCAGTTAAAACATCAAATGTTGCTTTGTAAGGCACAACCTATATTCTATAATTTGTCTTAGTCACAGCAGGGTTGGCCTAAAGAATAATGCCCAGACCTGAAATTTCATCCTGCCTGTATAGAGTCAGTGGAAAGCTCCTAGTAAAAGCACGTTTCTATATGTGCTGTGTTTTCACTCTTGATATGTTATTTGACATGTTATTTAGAATTACTGTTCATCTTTTGCATGTGTTTCCTGATTGGCTCTTCTGTTTTGTTGCATTGTTAGAGCAAGTCCCTGGACTAAGGCAGTGCTGACACTTTATTTAGATACCTTGTTTGCAGTTTAGCTGATGGGGTGCCTCTTTTGGGTCTTCTTAGTTTCCTTTGCTCGGCATTTCTCCCCCCCGACCCCCCAAAGCTTTCTTACAAATTTCCCTTTGATATGTTTAACAGCCTCTAAGGGATGCAGTTAAATAAACTATTAAGTGAAGAATAGAAGATTCAACAGAGCAGACACCTACTAATTTGTAGACCTTTGATGTCAACAACCAGATGTCAGCTCCTACTAGCACACACTTTCACACGTGCCCCTTCTCTCTTTCTTCTTCATAAATACTAAGGGATGCATTTTTTTAAAAGTTAAGATCCACATGGAAATTTGGAGTTAGAATGTACCTTGCAATCAGCAAAGTCCCCCAAATATGTAATACTTATAAGCTAAGAGTTTCCCCAAAGACCTCTGCAGGGTCCAGTGACTGATGAAAGAAATGATTGATTTTATAATTGCACAACACAAATCAAGCAAGTAACTTTCATTTCCCTCTCGTTATTCATTACCCCCCTTCTTCTGCATACTGCTGTACATTTTTACTTGTTGCTTTGTAACTATCCTTATAGTTAGGTGTGTTCTCTGATTTGTAACTATCCTTATAGCTGTTCCACACTAAATCGAGCTCTTGAAGGCATGGACTGTGCCTGTAATTTTATTTCCCCCAATGCCCTGCTTATACCAGACATAGCTAAATGTCTATCAAGTAAATAGACCTAGATAAATTTGCTTTGATATCCAGGAGAAGATAGAGTTTGATTGGAATGTTGGTTTGGTGACAGGTAAAAAAAAGACCTGAAGGTTCTTAGGAGGCATTGCCTATGACCTTGGCCTCTCCTTCGCAGTAGGATTCACAGCACCTCTTGGAAAAAAGACATACTCAGAGGGATGAAGCGCTCCTTACAGGAGATCTTCCAAATGTAAAACCAGGCAGCTCCCCATCCTTGGTAGGAAATGCACAAACCAGGATAATAATAATCAAGGGGCAGGTGTCACCCATATACCTGTTTTCCCTCTAGTTCCTTCATTTTGTTTTCTAGCATTATCGCAAAGAAAAACCAAGGTGTAAACATCCCCATTTTATTACTGAGCCCCCCTCCTAGGAAGGTCTCAAAAATGCAAACCATGCTTATCTCTTCCCCAACTCGGAGACTCCCGCTGCACACACTGGCCGAGTCCTTCCTGGAGAAAGGTGGACACCCCCGCGCCCCCGCCCCCCACCTCCCGTGCAAAATCAAGGCAGGCAAATTGTTATACTGTAGCTAGGTACATCCAGCCATTCTTAACTTCACTCCTTTAAACAACATTATGTCCTGTGGACAAAAAGTCACAGCTCCGCTCCCTGTTCAAAATGCCTTTTGGTCAGTGATGGTGACAAAAGCTGAATTTCCCCCCATGTAGGGGGAGAAACAGAAGGAAAGAAAGAAAGGAGCCTCCCCCTCCACCACCAGCACACCCTCCTTTTTGCATAGATCGCCTTCCTCCGAGTGTTTCCTCTTTAATTATGCCCCGTTTCCCCTCCCTCTCCCCCCTCCCCAGCTTCAGTGAAAGGAGCCCTTCTGTCACTCGTCACTCGCTCCCCGGCTCGCTCGCGCGCTGGCTGTGGGAGGAGCCGCCGGAGGAAGCTGGGTGCCTCGGATGCCGAGCGCCAGAGGATGGAGCTGCTCCGAGAGGGGACGTCGCTGACGAGCCCGGCTTCCCGAGGCGGCTAGAAAACAGGCAACTTGCCTCGTCTGGGCTGCGGATCCCGCGGGGCGCGGAGCCCCGGGCCACCCGGAGGGACCGACGGACAGACAGACAGATGGTCGGTGCGACCCCGGGAGGACCGCGGCGGAGGCTGAGCACCGCGAGCCGCCCAGCAGGAGAAACTCACCGCGAACCCAAGTTGCCCCGCCGGCTTCCCCTTGGCGCGCGGAGGAATGAGACCTTTCCAGCTCGACCTGCTCTTCGTCTGCTTTTTCCTCTTCAGCCAAGGTAGGACCCCTGCGCCGCCCGGAGTTGCAAAGAAAGTCGGCGGGGTTGTCAGGGCTGCGGGCAGGAATGTGGGCAGGCTTCGGGAACTCGAACTGATGGATGCGTCTCCCGGTGCCTGGCCGAGAGGCACTGGCATCGCCTCTTTGCCTTTGAAAATGCAACAGAATGGTACTGTTTATTTTCCTTCGGAAGGCAGGGCTGCGGGAGGGGAGGGAGGGTGACTTTCTCCCCTCACTTGTCAACATCCAGCTCAAACTCTCCAATGCAAATGAGTTCTTTATGCTCCCTGTATGTTAATTAGGCGGCATCTCTGTGGCGGTGCGGTGCGGTTCTGAACTTCTGGGCGCCTCCTCTCCTCCAGACGCAGGTTGGAAAAGGAGAGGGTCGGGAAGGAGAGCTCTGTTGAGGTGGCTATTTCAGCTCGAGGAAGGTCTGGCTTGCACGGGTGTATTCGGAAGGGAAGGCGTGCGGAGGGGGCTGCGATGACCGAATGGAGCGTGGGGGTGATGTGCAGCGTTTTGGGAAAGCTTCTAAAGAGTTTCATTGCGTGTCATCCGCTTCCCTGAATTAGAGTGCATTCTGAGTCCTACACAGCGTTAGATTTCAGGGCAGAAAATGAAATCCCCCCCCTGCTCCTGGTGCAGACGCTTCCTCTCTGCAGCCTAGTAGTGGCAGAGAAGTCGGTGGACTTTCTCAAAAGAACTTGGCCCCCTTGGGCAACCTGCCCCTGAGAGCCGCCCTGGGGCCAGTAGCCGTAGAGGGAGGGGAGGATCATTCCGGAAAAGGATGGCGAGAGTGCCCTGATAGCCGGCGGCATCCGGAGTCACCTGTGGAATTGAGTTTGAGGGACTAGTCAGCCGGTTCCTTTCCCCTCTCCTGGAATGCCGGGTGCTGTCTCTGCCATCTGAGGTGGCGTTTGTGCCAGCCAGCACAGCTCTGGGAGGAACAGGACTCTCAGAAAAATCCACAACAAAGCACATCCATCTGTTGATTAAATGAAGGGTAAAAGTTTTCCAGAAAGCACAGCACTGCTATGGGTGGCTGGCTCTGCAAGCAAACAGCATGTCTCCAGCCCTCCCCCTGAAAGGGAGAAGCCAGATGAAAGCTGAAACCCACGCCTCCTTCCCCGGCTCCTCCACTGGTGCTTGTGGTCACTGCAGATTTCCCCCTTGTCAAACTTTGCTTCTGACCCTCCTGATTTAACCTGAGGCTCTTCCCCGACCTGGGTGTGCAGGTGAGCCCCTGCTTGTATATAATCCTGATGTACACACACACACACGCACACACACACACTCACTCGTGTATTCATGTGGTTGTGTTGCCTCTCGCCAGGGCTCTGTATAGCAGCAGGAAGATAAATTGCCTTCCCCAGAGTTTTCGGGCTGAATGAATAAGGACTATCTTAGCACACTGGTATAGAAACAATTTGGGTTCTATTACCACTTGGGGAGGTGACCCTCCTTCTTGAATGTGTTTGTGCTTGCTTATAGATACCTGCAGCAACACACATGCTCACTCTCCTGCTTTGCCTCTTACCATTCACTCACTCAGGAAGTTGCATGTAGAATTCCCAAACAGAGGATCTAACTGTCCCTCCCACACCAGGTTCCCCGGGCCAGTGCACATTTTACTGTGTCCACTGATGGTGCTAGAAGGGTGAGCTGAGACTCTCCTCTAGGTTGACACAAGAAGCCTGTAGATGTCTAAGTGCCTCTGACTGTTGGAATCATTGCAGCGTCCATCTTCTACTTTGCTTATTTCTTTCTGGGTATGGTGCTATTTTTTGAGCTGCCTCATATAAATCTTTAAATATATGGAAGTTAAATGCCCTGTTTCTTCTGCTCTTAGCCCTGAGGGCAGTGGGAAGGAACCACAACATCAAGCAGTTCAGAGTTCCTTGCTGTTCCTGACTGTTCTGCGCTTGGCCAGCTTTGCCCATCCTCCCAGATGGTAGATGCATAGTCTACAGAACTCCAGAACAGGGAGTTCTGGAGAACCCCTGGACTCCAGAACAGGTCTAAAGAAAGACAAGGGGACCTAAGTGGACCTGGCCAATGAGAACCCTCTACATCACTGAACACTGTACGGTAGGGTCCTTAAGTCGACAGTGTCCGACTGCAGAAATGAAGGGTCAAGTGGGACAATGTTTAATGGACTTCACTGGGATAGAAGATCTTTTGACTTTATCGGGGGCATTGATGTGAATGTGGATGTTGTTTGTAGGGTTGTGAATTCCCCAGAGAGTTCTATTTGACCCTCTACCCATGTATGCTTAGGGCATATACTATGCCAACCTCTGCCTGGTGCCATATATTTATCAAGTTATCAGATAGAGCATATCCACTTTCAACAGGTCACTAGAGGACCCCCTCCCCAGGCTCTGGGTGATGCCCTCTCTCATCCCCCTGGCTGCGGTTGCACCCCACCCAACACACACACCGAGCCACACCATCGGATGCCATTTCCTGCTTGCCTTCCTTCCGGGATGCTTTCCAAGGAAATGTGCTGATACTCAGGGATGGCCCGTCACTCAGAGAAAACAAATGCCCAGGGCTCTTTTAAGGGCCTTCTGTGGCCCTCTCGTGACACATCCATCTGCTGTCCCACACCTCTCACAATGGGAACCTACACGTCTGGAGTCACTGGAAACAGAACTCTCATGCATCCCACACAGAGAGGGTGCTCCAAACATCGTTCAGAAGATTTTTAAAGCAAAACACTTAGGTCAACTCTTAGAGTCATTTCAATCCTCCTTTCTCTTTTAGTATGTCAAATATATTTATTCACCGTTACTTTTTTTCATACCCCCTCTTTAGAGAGTGAAATTTAGGTATCATTTATGTTAGTGATATATTATAGCCCTAATGTTGTAAACTTTGGGCTTTTCATATAGACTGAGATTAAGCATGTGTTGATCACTCTTGAGGTGGCTATAGAAAGGCCAAATGGCATGCTTCCGTTCCCGCCCAGCCAGTGTCCCCAGGCCCAGCTCCCCACAAGGCAGTGGAGAGGTGTCAGCGAGTGCCGTATGAGGGGCTGCCGTGCTGGGGCTGCCTCTTCCTCCGCTGGCAGGACGGCATGCTCCGTACAGAGAGGGATAATGTCACAGCACAATTTGCCTCCCGCAGAGAAGAAGCATGTTCTGCCCCTGGGTGAAAAGGAATTGATTCTCTTGTCATCCGCACACTTAGAACTTGCTCTGTCTTCTGCTTTATCATTTTGGTTTGCCCACCACGATTTCCTTCTGTGCCTTCCTTCATCTTCCAGACCTGGCCCATCCAGCCTGCACATCCATGTTGTAAATGTCTTTGGAGAGACGATGTCCCAGCAGGACTGGGGACACCCTGCTTCCTGTCGGATCTCGGGTTCTGAGACCGTTCAGGGAACACGTGGTGGTACAGACTCAGCCCCTCCTACTTTGGCGGCTCCTGGGAAACATGCCCTCTTGCCTGCTCTGTGACGCTTTGTTTTAGCATCGTCCTGTCCTGCACGGTGACTTGCTGGGTCTGAAAGTTCTAATTCTCGGGAGTCCACTCTCTGGTTGGCTTTGCGTGTGCGCCGTGCTGTTCTGGATGTGTTGGGGCAAAAGTGAAAACTTGCACTTGCCCATCAGTGGCATGTCTGAGTTGAGGATTAATCCGGCGTGCCATCTCCCTATTGGGAAGAATCTCAACCACTGTTGTCCTGACTGGCTCGCAGAAATCACCAAGAAGGGCTGTCAGACAGCCATCAGAGGGGCAGAGGTTCTTGGTGACGCGAATCTCCAGGGAAATGGAAGAGCGACACGCAGAGAGAGGGTAAAATAGGGTGTGAGAGGAGAGAGGGGGCCAGGCTGAAGGGGGCCAGGCTGTGGGCGACAGGAGGCATGAGAACAGAGGAGCAAGGACCAGAGGGTTCAACTGGCAGGAAACTCCCTGGGTGAGGATGCTTAGAAAACAGCACGAGCGTGTCTGAGGCAGCCAGGAGTATGGAGGAGATGCTGGGGGCACAGGCTGAGAGGGCGTTACAAAAGGAAACTAGGAGTGAGCAGCAACTTTGGAAGCGTTTATCATTACCCAGAAACATCATACAACAAAGGATGGGGCAAGGAATAAGTGTGAGGCCTCCCCCACTGGCACCCCAAGTGGTCTGATGGCTTGTCTACAGGGGTAGAGTCAATGCACAGATGCCAAGGGTGTGGGACCACTTCTTTCAGAGACATCCTGGGTGATGAGGACTGGGGCGTGTCTGTTGGGTCTGGGGGTGGTCACAGTGTCTGCTGCCTAGCGGGGAGTTCTCAGCTGCCAGCCAGACCTATAGAGGAGGGAGAAGAAATGCTCTCTCTCCAGGGGGAGAGGGGCGTGGGCTGGGGTCAGGGCCTTCACACTGCACTTAGGGTCCCACGGGGGCCTCCCTCTGGGGTTCGGAAGACAGATCTTGCTTGGAACAGGGCAGCAGTGAGCCAGGCTTGCCACCAAGGAGCCTTCTGCCTGGTGTGCATGTGTTGGTAGGAGCCAGGGCCAGCAGGGGACCGGGTGGAGCAGGGCAGTATGCCTGAAGATGCAATTTTTCTTTTTTGTTCAGCCCAGTGGGGGTGATTTAGGCGGCATTATGTTTGCAGCCCCAAAAAAGCACATGAATAATCCCTAGTGAATTCAAGAGATTTCAATAGCAAAATAATAACAATACTAATGATTCCTTTGATTTGCAGAGTACTTTTCTTCCAAGGAGATAAAAAGATAAACTGTTTTGGAAACATGAACGAGGAAAGAAAATTGCCTGTGATGGAGGATTGGGGAGGAGGGTCAGGAGCATTCATTTTAGGGACTCTGGGTAATTGGTGGGGGGAGGGGTTTACATGGACCTAAGCATCATTTCTCAGCTGTAGTCCTTATCTGTCTAAGATGCTGAGATGTCTTTTGGGTGAGAAATCAGTGCAGGCCTTGTAAATCAAGGTCAGTCTAGAAATAATGGCACCCTAAAGCCCACTGCTGCCCCCCACCAGAAATAGGCCTGTTCTA